GTCCTCCTGATTCACGTATCATGTAGTGAGATGTCCGTAGCGATGTCATGATACTTAAATCTCTTTGGAGCAGTCAACCCTAGCTGGAGCTGCGATCTTTTCTCCCTACATTCAACCACATTGTTCTGCTGCCTGCCAGGGACTGACATAGCACACATCAAGTCCTCTCACTAAAGAGTCTTTGTGGCAGCAGCTGATGGAAGATTCTGGGTCTGCTCCCGGGCTGAGGGCCCATCTGTAACTACTTGGATGTTCATGGCTGTGACTTGGTTACCTATGTACTTCACCATCCCTCTGAGGTCATGTTTGGCCCTAGATCTTGTTTTGACCAAATATGTGTGATAAGTGGCACAGCTTACCTCCACATGGACAGTTAAAGGGCCAGGAGTAGGAGGGAGGGAGGGAGGGAGGGAGCACAAGCAGCTCAGAGGAGAAAGGGTATATCTGGCTTATAATTCTAGGTCACAGTCTCTCATTTGGTGGAAGTCAAGGCAGGAACTCCAGCAACTGACCACATTGTATCACAGTCAAGAGCAGGGTGAGGGGAATGTGCCCATGCTGTCGACTTACTATGTCACCTTTCTACTGTCCACACAGCTCAGGACACTATGCACAGATTCTGAATAGTACCTCTCACAATGATCTGGGTCTTCCTGTATTCCTATTATATAAGTTAATAATCAAGACTCCTACAGACATGGCCATAGACCTACTGGATAAAAACAATTACTCAATTGGGGATCTCAGTTGAGTCCAGGTTGTGTCAGGTTGAGAGTTACAACTAAGTGCCACAGCTGTTAGCACAAATACCTCAGAGAGGGTGGCTCACACAGTAACTCCTATTGTCATGATTCTGAAAGCCAGAAGTCCAAGAGTGAGCAGGGCTGGCCCCTCCCGAGGCCTTGCTCTTAGGCTTTCAATGGCTATCTTATCCCTGTGTCTTCACATGGCCTCTCTCTGTGTGCCTGTGTCCAAATGACCTTTTTTTTTTAAAAAAAAAAATAAAGACACCTACATTTATGACTTCATTTTAGTCTATTACCCCCATAAAGGCCTCGTTTCCAGATGCATCTATTCTGGGGTCCTCAGTGCTTCGGCATCTGAACCTGGGAGAGTGAAGTCCAGTTTGTGACACCTAGTACTGTCATTGTTTCCCAGTGGCCACAGCAGGCCCAGAACAGACAGACACAAGGTGGAGTCTAGCAATGGCTCCTGAGGAACTCGTAGAATGATCCAGACCCAGCTACCTGGCAGGAAACCCCCAAGCCAATGAGCTCCACCAGCCAGAAAAGCCTGCACATCACCTGCTGTCCCTGTGAGACCGCAGCCCCTGAGGAGAGCTCTGGGAATCACTTCCACCTGCAGTCTTGCCTTACTCCCCTGTGAGTTCTTATGGCTCCAGCATCCCTCAGTTCCCCTGCCCCCTTCCCTTCCTGGAAATCTTGGAGTAGCTTCCATTGCCCCAACCAAGTGCTTGATCCATCCAGGTGGGCAGGTGGAGAAATTTGTATCCCACCGTTAGCCCCTTGTGATCCTTCTCAGCATGGCTTGGGAGTGCAGGCTTGGTGAGGTGGTGACTTTGTAAGATGCTCTCAGGCCTAGATGGGGTCCAGCTGGAGACAGCATGGGCCTGGCTTGGCATTTCCACTCATTTTCTCTGGAGAGTCATCACCATCCTTGGAGAGTGTCCCTTCCTGAGTGTTCCTTCATCCCTGTAAGAAGTGGGTATGAAGCAGGTGGTATGGGACCTTCTGTCTAACAGATGGCTTAGAAACATCCCAAGAAGTCAAGCCTCTGGAGTATTACAGCCCTCCTAACTGCAGGACACACCTCCTTGCAGCAAGTGGGACGATCACTTCCAGTACCTTTATACTCCTTTGAGGCTTCCCTTCCTCCAGGAAGGCTGTAGGCCAGGCTCTGTGTCCCTTTCCCTTGTGTCTAGGAACAGGGTATTTAAATAATAACCACATCTGTAGCCTTCTATCTGAGCAGCTTTTATCAGATAGGGCCTGGGACCAGGCCTGTCTGCATGGCCATTTTCTTCAACCCCCATCCCCTGACCCCCGCCTGAAGTCAGCACAACCACAGATAATAGGGTTCTGATGTGGAGAAAGAACCAGAGGGGGATCCTCTGCCTTCATTGAGAAGCAGGAAAGTTGTGGAGTCAATCCACATTCCCCAGTACCCAGATGGCCAGTGGCCAGTGGCCAGTGAGACTCAGGGTCTAGAATGTGAAGGCTGCAGGTTGGGCTGGGAACAAAGCCCCCAGAGCACACTTAGGCAGTTGGCCCAGCATAATGGCGCCGCAGCTGGGCTTCTGAACAAAGGTCTGCATCACTTCTGAGAGATCATATTCATGTTCCTTAGTCTGGTCAGCACCTGCGAGTGCCTCTATTCCTCCACTGCTCGGGGTAATTCAGCTGGCTTGCTCTCCAAAATACATAATGGAGATTATACCTAACCTTCTACACGTGACCTTCCTTGCACAGCCACTGCTCTATCCAGATCACCACCCTCCTAATTGCTCTTCGGTGCTTCATTTCTGCCCCACCTCCCTTCTACTTTCTTGTGTGTGCATGCACGTGTATGCAGGTGTGCATGCATGTATGCGTGTTGGGGGGCTAGCATAGCCCCCTGAGGTGTTGTTACACAGGTGTCATCCACCTTGTTTTTTGAGACCTAGACTAAGTGATTAGGCAAGGCTGGCCGGCCAGTGAGTCCAGGGGTCTACCTGTCTCTGCTTTCCCAGTGCTAGAGTTGCAGGCACATACTACCATGCCTGCCTTCTTCAGCTGGGTTCTGCGCAGCCAGACTCAGGTTCTCATGCTTGCAAAGAGCCATTCCACATCTCCTAGGTTCCACTTTCTACATACCAGTTAAGTGCCTTCTTCTTAGATTTTGATAAGGTTTACCCCAGATCATCTATCAGTCAAAAACCTCAAAACACTTCCTATAAAACTCACAGAAAACCTGGACTCCTAAAGCCTGAGAGGCTGGTGAGAGCTGCCAATAGGCATTCTGGCGTTACTACTCCCTCCCTCTCTGAGAACACATTCCTCCTTCAGTCTGTGTCCTGGCCTCTCTGTCTCTAACTTTTTGCCTTGGTCTGTTCATGGGTGTGACTCAATTGTAACACCAGCTTCTTTGACAATTGTACATGTGGAGATCTTGCCAATTAGAGCTGTCTCTCCACACAGGATACACTGCCTCATTGTGCGTGTGTGCGTGTGTGTGTGTGTGTGTGTGTGTGTGTGTGTGTGTGTGTGTGTGTGTGTGTGTGTGTGTGTGTGTGTATGTGTGTGTGTGTGTGTATGTGTGTGTCTTGCACATGCCCATACTTGTATATGTGAAGGTTAAAGGTCAACAGCTAGTGTCTTCTTCGCCAGACTCTCTTCATCTTATTTATTGAGGCAGAGTCCCTCACTGAACCTGGAGTTTACTGATCCAGTAGCCTAGCCAGCAAACCCCAGACATCTTCATATTTTGACCTAGCTTGGCTTCTTATGAGGGTTCTGGGATCTAAACTCAGGTCCTCAAGCTTACCCAACAATGACCTTATCAACTAAGCAATCTTCCTGCCCCCACCTTGTGTGTCCTCTCTGGTCCCCACAGCCACCACATCAGACACCTTTGGATTTCAGATTCAGCACCAGCAGATCTCCAAGGTGCTTCCAGGCTTTCTGAGTCTGATTGGGACTGCAGAAGCGTCCAGCAATGAGAATTAAGTAGCTACCAGGTTCCCACAAGAAGGTGATTGTTGGCTCACCCACTTCCTATCACCTCTGCCCTTACATTTGCTGTATTTATCTAAAGTAGTTAGCTTTCCTTTGTGTTGAAGAATGCACTTGCATCCTGGGCATTGGGGTGAAAGTCTATGGCCTCTGTGTGTCCTTTGGGTCACATGGTCATTGTGGTGGTAGAATTTTCTTTTCTGTTTTTCTTTTTGGCAGGGTCTCAGTAGCACTGGCTGCTCTGGGATTCACTAAATAGACCCTCAAACTCACAGAGCTACACCTGACTCTGCCTCCTGGGATCTGGGATTAAACACATGTACCAACATGCCCAGCTTTGGTGGTGGATGTCTGAGTGCTGCCCTGTACTCCCTCATAGCCACAGGTTACATTATTGGTTCTTGTGACCCTTTGTGGAGGCAAATGATCCTTTCACAGGGGTTGCCTAAGACCATTGGAAGAACACAATTTACAATTCATAGTTGTAGCAAAATTACAGTTATGAAGTAGCAATGAAAATAATTTTATGGTTGAAGGTCATTGCAACATGAGGAACTGTAATAAAGGGTCACAGCATTGAGAGCCACTGAGCTGCATGCCATATGTGCTTTTTGAGAGAACCTAGTCACTCCTGCTCAATCTTCTGGATTTGCTGATAGGTGTTCCACAAAAGGGAATTCTTGACCCACCTTGACCTCTGATATGGCCTTCCTAAGATTAAGAAGACAGGACTATTTCAAGACCCTGCCTACCCTGGTACCCTTGGTCCTCTGGGGCATGTATAAGAGTAGAGCCTCACATATGGATGCACAGCCAGAGTCCATGTCTCCAGAGTGTGTTTTCCGGGACATATTCATAACTCTCTTGTATACCAATCTCAGGTTTGAGAGTGACTGGCTGAAACATTCTGAAGCTCAAGCCTTCCCCAGAGCACAGTGATAACATCACCTAGTAGAGTCAAGTTGGAAAGGCCACTCCAGGAGGCAAAGGATTGCTTCTCCTTTGGCTTTGGTCAAATGCAGGCATGATAGCTACATGAGGTGTGCTCACATGGCCTACAGGATGGAACTTCATGGTAACCACCTCCAAGTGGTCCTTCTTGGAGACAGGTCCCGGAGAATCTTTCCCTCCCTCCTACATCTTCATCTAATTGTTCAAATAATCCATCCATCTATCCATCCATCCATCCATCCATCCAATTATGGTCCTGGTCTTGTGTATGTTGTAGCCATGATAAGCAAAAAGGAAATACATGTCTCTATTTGTATATCTTCTTTTGAAATATTTTTATTTCACTTTTTTCTAACAGTAATATAGAAACAAATAATCATAAAAATAAAATTGTAAATTATCCATTGATTATGTAATAGCACTTGGTATTGCTACAGGGGTAGATCTTGGATGAGGCCAGGTTACAGCCAGGCCTGCCCAGGCCCTCTAGGGCTCTGTGATTGCTACTGAGCCCACAGAGGCATTGGACTTGACCTTGTGGCAGCACAGTGGATATTTTGTGTCTCACAGGGGGTTTGGGGGCATGGAGATGGTTAATGATGAAACAGCAAACGGGACTGTGTACGTATGAGCCAGGAACTGGCTGAGGGAGGCTGCTAATATGCCACTGACCTACAGACATCTCTGCATGGATTCTACAAGCAGAATGAACAGCTAATGATTTGAGCTCACCATGAAAGGCAGGGAGCTAACAGATACTAACTTCATGTAAGAAAATAAAATGGGTTTCCCTTCCACTTTTGTGACCCCCCCCCACTCCCCACCTTCCCTCTCATCACAGAATAAGATTCTTTTAGGATGAACGTGAGATGAACAACTTAAGCTGAGACATCTAACCTATTCAAACTCATTCCTGGGACAAAGTTCCTCAGGGAACAAAAGATGATGCTGGGTTAGCTGAGCACAGACCACTCAATCACATATTTAGTTACTGACCACATCTAATTTGACCACTTTGCTTTGCTCTAAGCTAAGGGTGTCATCTTCTGTAATGACTGATGTCTTCTCCTTTTTTATCTTTTTGAGACATGGTCTCATGTAGCTCAGGCTGGCCTGGAGAACTGACTATATATCATAGGCTAGTCTTGAATTCCTGCTCCTCCTCCCTCCACCTCGTGAGTGCTGGGATTAAAGACATGCACTACCATGCCTGGCTAATGATTGATTTCCTATAACCAGCTTGGCATTGTTTTTAGAATGTGGGATGTGTTTTCTATGACGTGGTGTGTGAGTGTCAGCCAGTGGCTGACTGAAGACAGGAGGTGACAAGAGATGATGAGGCTTCTTGGGACCTGGCAGTGTTTTGTGTAGTCTCTAAGGAAGGGACTGGGGTCAAGGCCTCTGAACTTCAGGGCTTTTAAGAAATCTTGGCTACCTTGTTCTACCTTTAAAAAAAGAAACACAAACTGCCTGGCTCTTTGAAATTACAAGGAAGAGACCATCCAGTCATATAAGACCAGCCAGTTATACCTTCCCATTCCAGTCTCTCCCTGGGTGTGTTGTGGCATGTGTGGACACAGCCCATGGGGATTACCAGGGAAAAGAAACATTATATACAGAGAACAATCAGTGTAGACTACAGGACTATGACAGATGGCAAGTGCCAAGGGCCCACCATCCAGGCATCATGCTTCTCTCCCTGCCCCAATACTTCGGATTGCAAAGTGGGGAGAATGGGTGGGGCTGAAAGGGAGGGAGAGAGAAGTTGGCAACTTATGGGTTTGGCAGAACATCAGGACCATCTTTTGGAGTTGAAGTTCATTGACAGGGGATCTTTCTAGGCCTGACTCACAATAATTCACACCTTAATATTCTACAGCCAATAAACAGCCAGGTAACTTGAGGGAAGTCATTTTCTTTTCTGGCTTCACTTTGCCCCTCTGCTAATGAGCAGGCCTCACGAGACACACCCAGTGCCTGAGAAAGTTGTGTTAACAGGATTACACATGGCCAGATGTGCTGTACCAGGTCTTCCCTGAACCAATCATCTTAACAGTCTGCTGATCTCAAGGTTGCTGCTAAGGAAAAAAACTCTTAAAACGAAACCCCAAACTCTGCGTAGCTTACTCAACTGGCTCTCCATTTGGACAGGTATCAGACAGGTATTAGTGAGTTAGCAACACATTTGTTAACAGTCATGGTCAATTAAAATTCATTGTTTAGGTCAGGCACAGTCTTGAGAGAGGCTCAGGATGGGCTTCTGGACTCCCTGGGGTCTTTGGTGCTAAGGATAAGGTGATGTGGGTGACACCATCAAGTCCCACCAGAAATGCCTCTGTCATGTCCCCTACAGTAGAATTCACTTGGGGGAAATCTGTTTCCTATCTGCCTTGTGTAGTCATCAGTGGCCTGCTAGGTGTTCTCCTGGAGTTGTGATTGGTAGCAAAATAACCGAAATGGTTATAACAGGAGCTAGGGGAGCTATCAGGGCATCTGGGTTCCTCTACCAAAGCTACACAAGTTGCATGCATCGTGTGTCATGGAGCAAGCTGGAAGTAGCATAGCCGTGTAGCATCGAGGCTGAATTTCAAAGTAGCAGGGCAGAGCTCCTTCCCAGGGATGCTGGTGGCCATCGAAGAGAAGCATGCATTCCCATATCCCTTTAGGTTTTCCTGTCCTAGCATGTCCCTGCCCAGGCTGGTGAGTCACCTACTTAGGGGCAATTAGAGCTAGAACTAAGAGGTTGGTAACAGTACATGAGAGATGAGTGTGCCTTACATATCTAATCTTCCCAGCTTCCCCAGAGGAGAGCTTTCTGCAGGAACAAGCATGGGGTGGGGGGGGAGAAGGTCCCCGTCCCCTTTGGGATCCAACACCATAGCACCAGTGATTCTAGGACACAGGAAAGCAGGCCATAGAGAGAGGCAGGCCATGGGGATCCTGCTGAGACCCCCATCTTACATAGTGTCTGCAGACTCTTTGGGTATTGAACATGAAGAGCCAGGTATGCAAAGCTGAAGCCCCTGGTATACTACCACCAGGTCCTGGGGCCTTCCGTTCCCCAGCATGGCCCCAGGGAGACCCACTTTGGGTAACTTGGTCTGAGCCCCCCTCTCTCTCTCACCCTTGGCTCTGGTCCCTCTTCCATCCCAAGGCCCCTCAGCAGAGAGAGAACCTCCTGGAGTTGATGTTCATTTTGGTGACGCCAATGAGCTTGAGTGGTGTGGAAAGGCTGAAGGAAGATGCCAGAGGGGAGTCGCAAAAGAGGTCGGACAGCTCATCTCGCTCCTCCAGCTCATAGGCAGCATCGTTGAGCATCCTCCGGTGCAGGCGGCAGGTCTGCTCAATCTTCAGCTTGTTGATGTCTCCACGGAGGCGCATGAGCTGTCTAGCCAGCTGCTGGTCCTGGAGCCGCATCTCTGCCTGCAGGGGAAAGGCCAGACGTGAATCAGCAGGGTGTGTGGGGGCTGCAGCTCTGTGAGCTCTGCTGAGGGCACTCATTGATAGGGATCCTAACCGATGTCAGGGACCACAGACAGGTCCATCTGGCAGCAGGCATACTTCCTAGGTCAGAGGGGAGAAAGGACACACAGTGGTGGCACAGGAAGGTGTCATTGACCAACAAAGCTTTCTGCCAGGCTAGCAACTATGTCTAAATCCTTCTCCAGGCCAGTCCTAGCTTAAGATCACTTCTAGTTCACCCCATTCCTGGGTTTTCAGTGGATGTTCAGGTGGAGTGAGACTGCAAAGAGTAACAGTCACCAAATTTGGCAGCATAGCTTCTGGGTGGGAAGGAGGGATGTGACAGGCAGGACAATGAGGGCTTTCTACTGGGACAGCTCAGTTAGGTCACATGTGTGGGCTGGCATAACATGCCTTATTATTTGGAAATTCATACTTTATATTGTATTTTCATTATATCCACCTACTACTACCGTCCTCCAATTTTCCCACATGCCCTCCCACTCCAACTTTCAAATTCTTGTCCTCTTTTTTAAAAAAGTATAATTAGTAACTCTGAGTCCAGTTAGTGCTGCCCATATACACATGAGTGTGGGCCATCTCCCGGGGTGTAGGGCCCTACCAGTGGTCATGTGACTCTCCCTCACTCTACAGCCTGCTATTTTTTTTCTTCATTCATCTTACAATGACTTATGGATGTATATCTTAATAAAGGCTCCTAAGAGTCAACATGAAAATGAGCTGATATTTACTATGAACCAGGCACAGCTAACACAATAGAGTTAATCCTTATAGACAGGGAAGGTGAAGTCTACTGTCAAAAGGCCCTCAGTGGTAAGGCTGGGGTAGGGGCTCAGACTGTTGTCAGAAGCCTGACAACTCAGTTCTGCTCTTAGGAGAGTGGAGCCTAGGGTATAGGACTGTTCAAAGCTGGGAGAGCCTGGAGAGGGTTTCTGATGGTTTTTAACACCTCTGTTTCCTGTTAGGAAAGGGATGTCCCTCAAATGTCTCTTAGCAGCACTTTAAAAAACCCATCTGCAAGTGAGGATACTGGAACTCCACTGGCTTCAAGGTGCCCTTCGGCTTCACAGTTATGACTTGGCAGAGACAGAATACAGCTGTGATTTCACTAGGCTTCGTGGGCAGCAGTGTCCCATTAACAAAGCTTTGTCACTCAGATAGGGCACCAGCTGTTCCAACTAGACCAGAGACCCAATTCCATCTTGCCATTTACTCTGCCTACACCTGCAAGTGGCTATTGTTTCATTACTTTTCCATCCTCAGACTCAGTTCTCCAGGTGCCTGGAACCAAATGAGCCCTGAGATTTGAGACAGATGCCCCTGTCGTTATGCAAACGCAAATATTCTCACTTTCTGCATTGGGTTTGGAATACAGCCCAATGCCATGAAGAAAATTAGTGACTTCACTAGTGAGCAATCGGTGTTTTCTCTTTTCCTCTCACACGCACAAAATACATAAATAATAAATCTTTTTTCTTGACTGTGAAGGGCTAAGACTCCAAAATGTGAAAGAAAAAAAAAGTAAAATCTATATAACATAAAACATGTCATTTTGATCATTTTGAAGCACACAGTCCAGGGGTGTCAAAGACATGCATTGCTGTGTGGCCACTGCTACCACCCTATGCCAGAATCGTCCTACAAATCTCAACTAAAAGATGTGCTCTTTAAAAAAAATATCATCATCCCCCTTCTCCAGCCCCTGAAAACCCCAACCCCATTCCACTGACTGTCTCTATGAACTAGACGATTCTCGAGAGCACCCTCCTCCCCCCATCACCATGTGTAGGTTCCTACAGTGTTTGTGCTTATGTGACTGGCTTATTTCATTTCCCATCATGCTCTCCAGGTTCACACGTGTGAGAGGCTTTTTAAATTAACTTCCCTTAGCAATGACTAAAGGGCACATGTCACTGTGGATAACATGAATGACAAGCTCTGTGCCCTGACTCTGGCTCCCTGTACTTGATCTGTGCTGGCCCCTGCCTCTTCCCTGACCCCAGGCCAGAGGCATCACATTTATCTGTCTTACAGAAAAGGAAACTAACTCAGGCCCAGCCCTCCTGGGAATGGTGGCACTCAGATCCCTCTGGGTCAAGCAGTGGCTTTCCTAGGGAGACCTGTTGCAAGCGCGCCCCCCCCCACACACACACACATACACCTGCTCAACAAACCAGTCACTAACTTCCTGAACTTCCACCCCCACTTCTTCACGAAGGGGATAATGAGGTCTCCAGACCAGACAAGACACTGTGCTTAGTAACCTTAGGGCAGTAGCTGCCAGTGGCCAAGTGCTTCATTGCAGCCAGTTAGGGACCCACAGAAGCACCTAGGCTGGAGCACTGGTCCTGAGACTCCAGCCTAGGGAACTCAACTGAGCATAGGTCAAACACTGTCCTCCAAAGCTCAGTGTAGAAGGTACTTATTTTCCACCCCACCCCGAAGGTGGCCTGCCCTCCCTCTGGGGAGGCAGGCACAGGCTGGATTCAGAGCTGTGGTTTGCTGTTCCAGTAATCCTACAGTCAGGGCACAGAACCTGGTGAAAGGGGTCGAGGTGCCATTGGTCTGGGACTCAGGGGGATTGTAGGGTCTCCAGAGACCTGAGGTGGTGGAGGTAGCCTTTCTGAAAGAGCCAGTGCTGTCGCTCAGACTCTTCTGCTGCCTGTGGACACTGGTGGTTTTGAGGCAAATGAGAAGCCTCTTAGGAGAATCTGGCCTGTTTCTTCAGGTAGAAGGCAAAGCCCCCAGGGCAGGATTAGCTAAACAGTAATTACAGGGCTTTGCAAGAGAAAAGATTTCCTGACTTCCCAGCTCACTGTGGGGTAGGAGAGGTGATGGAGATGCTGAGGGAAGAAAGCTGGGGAGGAGAGTCAGCTGAGAGAATCTAGACAGAAAGCTCTCAGTGAATGTGTCCCTGCTTACTGGGAAGAGACCACCAACCACACCAAGTGCTTTCCCGAGGAGAAGAGAGAAGTTTGGGCTTGCCCTCGGCTGGCAGCAATGAAAATGATAGCTGTAGACATCCCCTGGATGTCCTAAGTTCAGTGGTTACCATACACATGACCAGGGGTTTCTCCTAAAACAAGTGGAGGCAAGGACTCCAATAGAGACCTGTGCCTACATTCATAGTGGCCCACCCCAACTGCAAAATAGATGAACACAGTCAACCCATGCTCCGGATGCTATACAATCCTAGCAAGGGGGAAAAATTCAGACACATGTCACAATGTGTATTTGGGGGTATTATGCTAAGTGACATTAGCCAGTGACAGAGAGACAAATATTTGACCCATGTATGTGAAGCAGTGGGAACAATTATATTCTGTGACAGACAGCAGAAAAATGTTTGCCAGGGTGTGGGGGTTGGGAATCAGTGTTTAATGGCCAGCACAGATAGAAAGAGAATACCAAGGTGGAGGACATTTGTCTAGTCCTTAATACTGGGGCTCCTGAGGGTGCCATCTCAGCCTGAGAGCCTCCATTTGTCTCTGATGGATGCTAGAACTGTCTATGGTAGGAGGGCCAGGAACTGTCTCAGCACGTGTGAAGGGGCAGAATGTGTTCCATTTCCACATGGTTGGACAACAGAGACCTAATTCTTGAGGTTTGCAAATACGCTTTGTATTCTGCTCTGGTGTTTGTCTAGCTTCACCCAAAGGTCAGCCATTGTTACAATCGGACATGTATAATGTCAGCCATTGTTATGATCAGTATTGTGTTGGAGTCTGTGTAGAACCAAGACAATGCAGGACACTTTAACCTTAGTTTGACCCCAGAGAATGCCAGACTGATGAGGGTGGATGGAGGCAGGTGGTGTGGGTAAGGTGTCTTGCTCAATGGAAACTTGAGTTTCTGGGAACCTGTAGAAGGAAAAACTCAAAGGTTCCCAGAAGCCAGCTCCACAGTGTGAATTGGTTTCCAGGGGAGTTATGGACTCTAATGGAGGTGGAAGTACACTTCATGGAGAGGTTATCTCTGAGAGGAGGTGGCTGGGCCACATAGGTAGGAGTGGCCTCTCCTGACAGTGGGGGTGGGGGGCTATTATCGGTAGCCCCTGGTCTGGGCTATGGAGTGGAGATCTGGCACCCTGGTACATAGGCTGGTTCAGGGAGGAGGAGAGAGACCATTATATTGCCTGCTTTGTCTGGGCCAGACAGAGTCAGGACTAAAAAGAGAGCTTAGGGCCCTTCAAGCCCTCCTGGGGAATTCCCCACTCTACTCAAGTATGAAGGTCTCAAGATGTGACAAGGTTTTCAAACTTGGAAAGTCCCCAAACTGTTACGTTCTCTATGAGAGGCTGGACTTTCAGAGCTACCAGGAGCTCTGGCTTCCAGTCCCCAAACAGCCCCTTGCTAGGGGAACATCCCTGGGCGGGTGTGAACCCCTGGCAGAAAAGGGAAAGGGATGGCTGCCCCTCACCCCTGCTTCATCAGATAGTAGCTGGGGTGGGAAGCAGGGAGGTGTTCCTGGAAGGGCCACACAACAGAGTGAAGCAGGAGAGGTTGGGAGTTGAGGACTGGTAGGGACCTGAGTTGACACTTCTCAAAAGAAGACAATATGGTAGCAGGGAAATTTAGGGAAAGGTGTTCAACATCTCAAATCACTGGGGAAATGCAAATCAGAAGTACAACAAAGCTGGGTGTGAGGGCCCACACCTGTGATTCTAGACTTGGGTGGCTAAGACAGGCAGATCATGAGTTCAAGGCTGGCCTGGGCTATGTCATAAATTCTAGGCTAACTTGAGATGCAGAGTGAGACTCTGTTTCAAACAAAAACTCACAGCAAGATACCACCTCATATCAGTTCAAAGAGACAGGAAATAAAGATACCAGTAAAGGTATAAGGCAGAGCTAAGTATCACAAACGCGCGCGCGTGCGCGCGCACACACACACAAACACACACACACACACACACACACACACACACACACACACACACA